ATGTTTTTACTTTGGGTGGAGCAACAATCTCGTGGAAATCATCAAAGCAGACTTGTATTGCTCGTTCTACTATGGAGTCAGAGTTTATAGCTCTTGACCTAGCTGAGCAAGAAGCCGAGTGGCTCAGAAGTTTGTTAGCAGATATTCCGTTGTGGGGAAGACCGACTCCTCCATTTTCATTATTGTGTGATTCACAATCTGCGATATGTGTGGCTAAGAACAAAGCTTACAATGGTAAGAAAAGACACATTCATATAAGACATGAGTCAGTGAGACACTTAATAAAGAATGGAGTGCTCTCTTTAGAGTATGTGAAGTCGGAAAGGAACCTAACAGATCCACTTACCAAAGGGTTAAGTCGAAAGCTGGTCCTAGATTCGTCGAGAGGGATGGGTCTAAAGCCCATTGATTGAGGAATTCATGGTGGATACCCAACTTAGTTATCTAAGTTCCATGTGGTCAAATGAAACCATAGAAAGACTCATAGTGCACATTCCTACTGCCTATCCCTATGATGAATAATGTGCATGCCCAGGATGAGCTTAATTGTTCTTAATAAATTCATAGCTCAGGCTTTGGGTGGTCTTAGTGAGAAAGACTTGATGAATTTACCGATTTTTGCTGAATATTTATTCTTAATAAGTTCATAACCCAGAGTGAGTGGGTAGGAAATGATGAACTTACCTACAGAAAGGTTGAGTTTGTTAAACTCTTAATAAATTCAAATCCAAGTATTTGGATGGTTCTAGTGAGAAGGACTTATTGAATTTACCAATAAATGAGGTTGAATATTTATTCTTAATGACTTCTTAGCCCAGAGTTTGGGTGGTTCATTAATAATGAACTTGAAGAAAGTCACCATACCCTTTATGAGGTTGAACTATTATAAAAGCTCTTAATTATTTCATATCCCTTTTTAAAGGGTGGTTTATGTTGAGATAAACTTGATGAAATAACCTATGTAAGTGAGAAGGGTTAGCCGTCTTTTATGAAAAATGTTGGGCCATTTTTCTAGCACACTTACTAGAATCCTGAGGTAAGATGGCCAAATATATACTTTGTATATATATCTTACACATCGAGGACTCAGGTGGATGAAGGGGTTAGTTGTGTGCTATGAGTTTACCCTGATCTTAGAAAGTTCTAGGCTAGTTTCACTTATCTAAGAGAATGATTGCTCATCATCACTATGTACTAGTTCCAGATACGTTCACTAGTGCTTAAGCAACTAATCTCGCTATTGCTCTTCTGGAAAGTTTGTTTTCGAGTTTCAAAAGATTTCTTTCGCATTAGTAGGGAATATTGGTAATGCTCAATCCCACATAGTATTGGAAACACTATTGGGAATGGTATTTAAGGCTTGGCTTTCCCACTTCCTTGTTGAGTGATAGAGAACAAGGGGGACTCTCGCGCACCGCCGCCGCCGCCGTCCGTCTCGTCTTGGCACGGCTCGGCTCGTGGTCGTGGTAATACGTGTCTTCGACACGTCCGCGCGGATACTATCTTTTTAGAGAAAATTCTTGAGGAATTTCTCTTTGAAAGAAACAAATGGAAAATGTGAAAGATTTCAACTGATATTTATAGGTTGTTGAGGACTGTTTAAATTTCAAATGATAACAGCTGATTTATGAGTTATCAGAAATTAAACACTTTTTCCTAAATTAAATCAAAAACGTTAAGATGTATCTAGATTGATTTCTAGCTTTGTACAGAGGAGACAAGCTGTTAATATCAGGAGTTACATGAGTTATTTGATTTAATTCCAGGGGTTACATGATATAATTTCAGGAGTTATAACAGCTGAAAAATGATGCAATGAACCTGGACTATTTTTGAGTCAGGTTCATCTAGACGTTTCAGCTGTTACAAAAGAAGATATTTAATCCTGAAATTTTATGGACGATATTAACCCTATTTCTAGCCTATAAATAGAGAGCTATATTCAGCTTCTCAACTCATTCTCAAACATTCACAATTGACTTACAAAATTGTTTTCTAAATTTCTCTCTGTGAGTTCTCTCTGAGTGTTTTCCAATCAGAAGAGCAATACCACCAGCAGTCCACTCCAGTTTCGGGTGTACGGATTCGGAGCGACCGTGTTCACCTCGGGGGACGGTCTGTCTACTGCAGCGATTACACATCGGGGCGAATTCGTTTCTAAGGCAGTGGTTTTTGCCACGACACGATATACGAATTTGTTCCTTTTAATTACTGTTTATATTTCCAGTCAGTGCTAACGGTGTAGTTTTGCAGTTCATATATCCAACATAGTGTTCGTCGACAATATTAGTAGAAGAATCCATACCTCTTCTCTGAAAGAAACATTCCAAATTTATGAGGAGGTGCTGGATGTGTACATTGCATATAGGGATGCAAAAAAGATGGCGACGGAGACGACTTTTGCTTTTGTGAGATTTAGTAACTCTGATGAAGCAAAGGAAGTGATACATCGTGCTGATGAAAGACAAATGGATGGGTACATTATTAGGGTGTTTCTTGCAGGAGAAGCAAAAGAGATCTGGAATGTGCGTAAGGATAGAGTTCGATCCTACAAACAACATAAAAGAACTGAAGCTGTCAGGGATTCAAGATCATTCAAATAGGTTCTGTTAGGTATGAAGAGAGGTGAGATGGCCCTGTAGAAAAGTACCAGTGGAGATGCATAGTCAAGCTGGTGTAGAATTGATCAGGAAGTTGGTGTGAATATCATGGATGACATATCAACATCCCTTAGTGAGACGGAAAGGTCGAATCAATCCAGAATATCCATCTCAACATCGGAGATGGAGTGGAGGCATTTGTGTTTCATCGAAAAAATAAAAGTTTTGCACAATCTGTAACTTGTTGAAGCAACTCTAAAGTCTGATAGCTTTGATGCAAATGTTAGTCCTTGGTTTGGACTTTTAGTTATTATACAATTCAAAAGTCAAGAGGATAATATAAATTATTGAAATAGCAGAGTTGAAATGATGAATCTCTGGTTTGGGGAGCTTGAAATGTTAGAAGGTTTTGAAGGAAAAAAGTCTATCAAACAATGGGTGGTCCTTAAGGATGTGCCACTTCAGATTTGGAACGATAATTTTTTCTTGAACCGTTGGGTAGGGTGGTAAATGTTGACAAAGAAACATCAAACCATGATAGATTTGATGAGACTAGGGTTCCGATCGCAGTTTGGAAAGAATCTATAATCCATGAGAGATTGATAGTCTTTCTTAAAGGCAACGATTATGTGATTAATTACATGTTGAAGAATACGAGGAAGATGACAGGTTAGTTGAGGTCGATGGGACCCACACGTGTTCGATTCCTTTTATCTATTATGAAAGAATCGAGGAAAATATAATGATTGATGGTTTAGTAGGTTTAGGATGTTAGATGGAAGGGTTTTGAAGAGGCACTTGAATCCCCAAGTATTTTGGAAAATCCTTCCCATCTCATCGAATCAGCATCTAGCGGCGTGAACCTTTTTGAGGTCCCAACTATATCTGGGTTTGGGCCGTCCAGCCCATCGCTTGTGGATAACCGTTGATGGTTTTGGACTGGTGGATTCGAATATTAAGCATTAACCTATTTTGCAAGGGTCTTTTCTTCTTAACGTTCCTATTACAGTGGTAACAATGTAGAAGAACTCGTGGGGCCTACAGCATCACCTCGAGGTAGAGAGGAGTGGATTAAAAAATCAAGAATGAGTGGCAATGGGAATAAGAAAAAGAAGCAAAAGTCAGTTAAAAGAACTGAGAAAAGAGAGAAATTCTACAGTACTTGCTAAAGAGCAGTTGTTTCTAAAAAGTGGAGTCGCTAAAGAGATCATTAGCGAAGCAGAGACTACTCTTGCTCTTGGGGTGAAGTTCAAGGCTTCTAAAAGTGAAATAATTGAAAGATTCGAAAAAACTATGGTTGTTGAGAGGTTGTGATAGTGAAGGTTAACGTGCTCCTCCATGTGTGTCGTTGTTGATCTTACTACGAATTTAGTAGCTTTGGCATGGAATATAAGAGGTATGGGTAGAGGGGGAAAAAATCCGTGCTATCTGTCGGGCCATTGCACAAGCAAAGCACGAATAATACTCATTCAAGAAACCAAGTTGAAGAGTGAGTCAATGTTTATCCAGAAGGCTTCTAGGGAGGTACTTGGGTGATTTAGTCTACTCTCCATCAGTAGGGTCGACATGTGGTCTAATTACGATATGGTACACCAATCTATGTATAGTAAACATGAGGATTATTCATAATAGAGTGGTGGCTGTAGTGGGATGTTTTTCACATATTAACTTACAAATAGGCTTGATTAATATATATTCCCCAAATGATCCCAGGGATAGGGAAGAGTTTTTCAGAAGCCTAGAAGTTTTAGTTGCTGAGCTAGAGGTTTTGGTTATTATTGGCGGGGATTTCAACACCCTCAAGTCTGGATCGGAAAGGATTAGTGACAGCTCGCAACCAAGTTCAACGAAGAGTGTTGTGGAGTTCGTCGAGAATGATAATTTTATTGACGTGCTGATGAGGAGGAGTCCATTCACGTAGTATAGAGGAGGAACATCCGTGTCCACAAGTTGATTGGACATGTTTATTATATCAGCGGAGGTGTTTAAAAAATTCCCTCATTTAGTTCAATCCTCCATGCGGAGAAGTTTGTGGGATCACAAACTTGTGTTATTAAAAGAAGAGAATGTGAGACAGGGGTGCAGGCCGTTCAAATGGTTTAACCTCTAGGCAGATGGTAAGGACAATGCAAAGATGGTAAAAGCAATATGTGAAACTAGCTAGGGATTAGGCGCTATGCATACGCTAAAGCAGGTTCGTTTAACAACCAAGAAGTGTGCAAAAGAAATGCGCGAGAAGGATCAAGAATCAGTTGAGGTCCTAGAGGATAAAATTAAAGCCCTAGAATCATTAGCTATCTCGAGCGGAAATAACAATGCAGTGGTGTTGAAAATTCAAACCTTAAAAGCGAAACTTTGGAGTGTGTACAGACGCGAAGAAAGGGAATGGTTACAAAAAAGTTGACTCAAATGGTTTAAAGAAGGGGAAAAACACTAAATTTTTCCACATTACAGCAGCCACAAGAGAAAAGGTTAATCATATCTCTTCGATCGAATCCGATAACTTAGAGATAAGGGCCAAAAGAAGCTACTAAAGGTCTTCGAAGAGCATTTTCGTATCGAATATAATGAAGTGAACACAGTTCCAATCAATTATTTTGAAATCCCCTTGAAGCGTGCACCAGGCCCTGATGGTTTTAATATGGAGTTTTGTAAGAAATTTTGGCCATGTATAAAGGTGGAGGTTATGGCCTTCTTCACTGATTTTTTTAGTGAAAAGATAAGAGATACTTCTTCCAACGAGTCATTCATCGCACTTATTTCGAAGAGGGCTAGAGCTGAAGTCATTAAGGATTTTAGACCGATCTCACTCGTGGGTAGTTTGTACAAAATATTGGCCATAGTTCTGTCAAAAAGGTTAGTATGATGTATTAAAAAAAGTTGTGGGGGAGAGTCAGTTTGCGTTTATTGCAGAAAAGCAGATTGCAAACTGCTCACTAAACGCAAATGAAATTATTGATGACCTGAAGCAACATAGAAGGAAAGCCATAGTCGTTAAGGCTGACTTCAAAAAAGGCATATGACTTCTTCGATTGGTTCTTAAGCTTTGTAATAAGAAACATGAGATTTGGGAGGAAATAGAGGAATTGGATTAAGCTTTGTATCTCTACCTCGTTAATTGCGGTACTTGTAAACGGCTCACCATCCCATGGGTTTAATATCAAAAACGGTTTAAGGCAAGGTTGTCTGCTCTCTCCACTGTTTTTATCCTAGTGGGGGAAGCTCTAAGTGACCTGTTGAGCAAAGCTTCAAATTTGGATGTTTTTAAAGTTGTTTCAGTGGGCAATAGTGGTTGGCAAGTATCGCATATTCAATTTACGGATGACCTATTTATCTTCTCTGAGGCTAGGCTAGAGTCGGTGTGAAACGTTAAAATAATTCTTATAATTTTTGAAGTAGCTATTTGTCTTCAACTCAACTCGAAGAAGACAAAAATTTATGGGGTCAATGTTGACATCAATCGCATCCAGACATTGGCAGAGAACATACAATGTAGTTGGGATTTGTTTCCCACGCTATATCTCGGCCTTTCGTTGGGCCAAAAGAGGAATTCGAAGGAGATATGGCAGCCTATTGCTAAGAAAGTTCAAGGTTGTCTAGAAGGCTGAAAAGGTAAATATCTATCTATTGGCGGACGAATAACATTAGTTAAGTCGGTGCTATTAAATCTTATGGTGTATTATCTTTCTACATTTGCTATGCCTACTGCAGTGGCTGAAAAGATCAAGAGAAGTATCGCAAAATTCATATGGGGTGCAATGGAAGGTAAAAGCAATTCATTGGGGTAGTTGGAAGAACATCTACAGACCAAGGTTTCATGGGGGATTGTTGATGTTAGGACAAAAAATAGATCGCTCCTCAATAAATGGTTATGACATTTTGGGAACAAACCAAAAGTTCGTGGAAAAAGGTGATTACTGAAACATACAAGCTTAATAGAGAAGCGTTAACCCCCAAAAATGACCGAAGGAAGAAGAATTCTTGTTTATGGAGAAACATCCATCGTGCGTCTGCTATCTAATGACGAGGATAATTTCACCTTAAAATGCAAATGTGTGTTGGGCGACGGAAGAAGAATTAACTTCTGGGACGATCATTGGACGGAAGCCCCCTCCCTAAGAATAACTTTTCTAAGAATTTTCAGGATTACCACTCGTAAAATGGGTAAAGTAAAAGATTTCGGTTCTTTGGTAAACGGAAGATGCTATTAGAAAATTGAGATTAGAAGGTCGCTCTTTCAATGGGAAGTTAGCATTTGAAACAAATTTTTAAATGTCCTAAACAGAGTTCAACATAGCATGGTAGGGGAGGATCGCTTGTTATGGTCAGGGTCGAATCATGGTGTTTTTACTCCAAAAAAATTCTGCCTGATGGAAGCTGTTGTGGTAATGAACAAGGATAGAGTGTGGAAATTGGTGTGGCGAACTTAGCTCCACCTAAAGTGGAAGCATTTGTTTGGAATGCCGTCCTTCGGAGAACCTCGTCTCTTGTAGAATTATCAAAACGTGACATCATGGTTTAGATTCTAATCTGTGTGTAGTTTGCAAGAAAGTAGCTGAATCAATAAATCACAAACTGTCATTGTGAGAATACTTGGAGAGCATGGCAACGATAGTGCAAGCTTTGGAAGGTAGCTATTGTGTTCCTGGAAGATGTCAAAGCATTGATGCTACTATGGAATAACTAGAAGGTTAAGAGGAAGGTAACACTATTATGGTCTTTAAGTTTTTTTGGTTTCGTGTGGACTGTGTGGATTTGCAGGAACAATGCTCTATATAATGGGATTCTAAGTACAGTTAATAGAATATATGATAAGGAACTTGTAAGGATTGGTTGTTCAGCAAACTGCAAATGGCCCTTGGAAGTTCCCTTTGTGCAAGAGTTTATAAAAAATCCCAGTTCATTTATTTGGAATGGAGTATGAAATGTTTATGCGTTGTATGCAGGGAGTGGGAGTATATAGGTCTTATTTTTTTTTCCAGCTCTATTATCTCTAATTTGGTGTTTGCTAAATATGGATCGAGGATGATGTGCTGTTGTAGCTGCCTATCGTTTCAATTTATATCAATGATCGTGGATTGCTATATAACATCCAAGCCCTTAAAGGTATTTGCTGTTGCAAGTGTAGATCATAGTTGTAGCTTTGTTCTAGGTTCAAGTAGTGGAAGAGAGAAGGGCCCCAAAGCATGGAATCGGGATTGTATTTTAGAATAGTGTTTCGATTTTGCACACTAGTCTAATGTAGTGCGATCCTTGCTTCTAGTCCTACTTCATTTGTTGGTGTGTCGCTGCTGTACTTCTAGCGCCCTTGTTAATCTACCGGTGTTGGATTGATGAACTGAAGCAGTGGTTAGCTTTACATGGTTAGCTGTTGTTAGATTGATAATTATTGTTGCAGGTTTGGTGTTCAATGAGGGGCGATGAGTCTAGTGAGTTTGTGGATTGCTTTGATTCATAAATTTGGTTCCTCTGTCTGGTGTGTACTTCGTTTGAAGGGTTGTGGTTAAGCTTTGAAAGCTCCTTGTTAGAAAAGGTTGGTAGTTCGGTTTGAAATTGCTATGAGCAAGGGTTAATGTACTTGTGACTTTGACTCGGTGCACTCTTTTTATTCCGTTTAAGTATAGAGAGATTTTTTATGAGACCCTTGTTTTAGTCGTGTTTTGTATGTGATCCAATTAATAATATACAAAACTTCTCATTTCAGAAAAACATCCTCAATTTAGTTTGATTGTTAATTGGATTAGCGATGTCACATTAATTGTTCGGTACAATACCAATGATCTTATTAACCCTAACTGGATTATCAGAAAGTCGTTTAGTTTACTTTATGATTTAGGGATTAATTTGTAACAAAATTAATATTAGAGATTAATTATATATATATATATATATAATAAATGATGGCTTTTTAATATAAATTAATAAAAGTTTTATTTTTTAAATTGGATAAGACACTTAAAATATATAAAAGATAAAAGAAAACGCAAAATACAACATAAAAATAACATAAAACTAGAAAAATAAAACTTCTACTCGAGCATAAAATAATGTAATTGATCTGACATAAATAAATACAAAACCAATCAAGTTGACCAGTCAAATTAAATGTTTTCCTTGGGTACATATGGAAATTAGAATATAATATTTTTTTTAATTAATTATTAGTATTCGTTCTATTGACCGATTAATTCAGATCGGGTATTGTAGTGGCGAGGGCGACCCTCCCAATCCAGTTTGCATTATTCATAAATACCAGAATTCGAATATCTTACTCTTGTTTAATGAATCTAGTACCTCATCCCGCTTAATAAATTGGTTGTTGGTTAAAATATAATATTAAATCTAACCATACTTATAGTAGAAAAAAATAAAATGTTTATCGTGTTAAGAGGCTTAGATCTGATGTCAGGTGCTTAGGTCATACACGTTGCCTTTCCTTGCGTCAGTTTAGATGGGAAAGTTTAGAATGTATTATTCATACTGAAATACATTATTAACGAAATATATTAATGCATATTATCTTTCTTAAAGGGGGTGGTTGGCATTAGTCTGTAGGGCAAGCTTATCGACGGAGATGATTCCATAAATGATAGGCTTTGTGCTAGTTGGGCGTAGCAGCGGATCCAAGAATTTAAGATTCTAAAATTTTAATTCTTTCTTTAAAATAACGAGTATGCAAAACTTTTATTTTTTTATTTTTTCTTAACACATTAAATTAAATTAAATTATTTTCTCAAAATAAGGGTTAAGTGCATCTGCCCCTTATTGGGAGATCTAGGTGTAATTGTAGGGAAGTTTTGCTTTGTTGATATTTTAGTTTGTTGGTAGGGGCCTTGCTCCTTACTTTTTTTAGCAGTTTCTACTGCTCTTTGGATAAATGAAAGGGTAAACTACACGAGAGACCACTAAACTATGGTCAAAAATCAATGGGACCACTGAACTTTCAATTGAATCAATCAGATCACTCAACTATTTAATTGATTCAATCAAACTACCAGTCGTTAATTTTTAACAGATGTGGTGACGTGTCCGTTAATAAAATTGACATAATTATATATTTGGTCCTTAATATTTACATATTCTATCAATTTAGTAACTATTTTAATTCAATTAAATAAACTTAACTATCCAATTAGAACGTGACACGTGTTAATTTATGATTGGAATGTTTTATTTATGAATTTTAAATTATTTAGTCAAATACTTTTTCTATCCAATCAGGTTGTAACATGTGTTACCACCAATAAAAATGAAAATTAAAGGACAAACCTGCTTTTAAGGGAAATCGAACCAATGTCAAGGGGTAAAGCAACAATTGGGCCAAAGGTCCCCAATGATTTAAAATTACAAAAAATTGTATTTAACTTGTAAAAGTTTGTTAATGATAAAAAATTAAACAAATTATTTGTTTAAACAAATTATTATTTAAATTAATTGTAATCTATTTTTTTGAATTAAAAATATTCAATTGTTATATAAATTAGAAAATTTTAATTTTTTTTGGTTAATTTGAAAATTGACCAAATTAACCAAAATTTGTTCGGTTTGGTTAATAATTTTCAATAAATTTTGGTTCGCTTAATGGTTAAAGGAAAAAAATCGGTTAATTAATAATTTTCAAATAATTTTTGGTTCGAATTAATCAATTTTTTTAAAAAATTTTCTAATTTATATAAAAATTGAATATTTTTAATTCAAAAAATAGTTTACAATTAATTTAAATAATAATTTGTTTAAACAAATAATTTGTTATCCAAAAAATTTATTTTAATTAAAGAAATACTAAATTTTTTAATGATTTATTGATAATTATTTTTTATTAAAGTTTAATTTTAATTCTATTAAAAATATAATTAAATCATATACTTTTATTAAAAATTATAATTAATTTAGAAATTTATTTTTTTAAGATTTAAACACTTAATTTATGTTACAAGTTTTTAGATTCACCGCCAATAATAACCATCAAGAACCAACAACTGGTGACCATTGTTCATCCCCGAAAACAGGGACATTAAAAATATATAGGGATAACTACCTATTTGTTCATTCAAGTTTTGGTTTATTTTAATTTGACCCTCTTATTTCTTATTGTTAATTATACTTTACTCCTTGAACTTCAAGTTTTGGTTTTTTTTATTTTGTCCCTCTCATTTTTCTATTATTAATTATATTTCTCCCCCTCAAATCAAAATATTGGTTTCTATTTAATGTTGCATCTAGTCATTATTTATACATACTGTAATCACCGACAGTAAAATTCAAAATTTGATATTTATCAATCAACTAAATTAACACATATTAGTGAATAAGAAAGATAGATAACATCTAAGATATGACTTTGCTATGATTGTATTTATCAAACTTTTGTGTGTATGTGACGGTGATTATTTCTTTCTGGGTGCATTTGTGATATTGATTCATGGCGTCACATTTGCCAAATTTTAGCTAGATATGGCTTCTTTTCTGGGGAGTTTTTCTCGAAAAATCATCTTTTTAATTTAATATTCTCGATCAGGCATCGGTCAGATTATATTTCCCGATCTAACACCCTTTGCAGTAAGTCGCGCCCCCTGCAGCGCGCTATACGCTGATTTGACACCACGTGGGGTAAGGCGCGCCCCCTAAGGCGCGCCTTATGCTGACATGGATATACGTGTGTATGGCGCGGGACAGGGGCCGCGCCATACGCCACGTAAGATATAGTGCGGGACAGGGGTCGCGCTATTCAATTATCTCAATTATCAAACATGCATAATGCAAGGCGCGGTGCAAGGACCGCGCCTTGCATTATTTTCCCAAACTTCTCGGCTTTAAGGCATCCTCTCTCGGCTATAAATAGCCGTCTCCCGTAAATTCTCTAACCAACAATCCTTTGAATCAGTAAATAACATTCGACAATCATCTTATATTTGATTCAGAAGTTTGCTCGATCTTTCGTTATAAGGTAATTTTGTTATAATATTTATTTTATAGTTATATATGATTATTTGAAAAACTATTATACTAATTGTTTTTAATTAATTTCTGTGTTTGTAGAATTAGAAAGTGGGAGCATACGACGAAATATTTTTGTGGTGCATGTAATAATATAAAATTATATTATTTAAATTATTTACGTTTATGTGTAAAAAATTTATTCTGTTATATTTTTGGTCATATATTATTTATTTAATCAGGTTTGTTTCAGTTGTTTTTTTGCAAATATAATATTGTTGCACTTTTAAACTCTAAGAATGACGCGACTTTCAGCTATTGTTTATTATGATGAAGAAATTCGAGAAGATGAAACCGTCGTTGTTTTCGTATCAAATGAGCGTGTTAAAATATCATTCAAGAGAAACATAACTCTTGAGGAGCTGATAACGAAGATTTCGAGGAAGGTTCATGTTGGAAGTAGTAGAAGAATGTCGTCGTTGCAGTACAGATTTCCAACATCATTGTTGCCATTAATTTATACAGCGTTCGAACTATCGAACAATGATGATGTTGAAATGATGACTGATTCTCAAAGTAATTATTCAGACGGCGATATTGAGATGTATGCAAAGTTTGTTCAAGTGCGTGCTGTTCGAGGTCAGCCATTAAGCTCACACTATGGGCTGGCTGAACAAGTTGATCAAGTTGACATCCTGACTACAGTAATGTGTAATGATTTTAATGACATAATGGGAAATCCACATCATGGTGCCGACACATCAACTTCAATGGGAAGACATTCATCTGCAACTCCTTATGATATGTACCTAGGTGGGTCTACGAACAATCTGTATAGCAACATCGTGTCCAGTTCAAGGGGAAGACATTCATCTGCAAATTTCTTTGACCTTAATATGGAGATGCCATCGACGCAACAATCTGTGCAGTTTCCATTTGACACGATGGCTTCAAGCTCCAGGGGGAGGCATTCGACTGCGAGCTTTTTCGATCTCAATCCATATATGCCTTCTATTTCAAGGGGAAGGCGTGTCAGTAGTAGGTTCTTCGACCTAAATGTGGAGAGCATGGAAGAACTATCATCTCCACCAGAAGAACCGCTTCGTGAGTCTGGTGCGGATGATGCTGAGACTGGACTATTCATTCACCCAGAATCACCGCAATTCAACTTTGATGGTGATGATGATGTAGAAGAAGTTCCAGCAAATGTGGCACAAACTGACCCTCCAACACACATATATGAAGCTGATTATGATGCAATGTACGGGCTAGAATTTGCGGATATGCCTCATCTCGGTGACTATGGATATTACTCATCAATAAATAATGGTGAGTTATCTTTAGGCATGGAGTTTTCAAGCAAGGGAGAAGCGATGATGGCTATAAAAAATTACAATATTCTTAATTCTGTTCAGTCTAGAGTCGACCGCTATACGACCAAAAAATATGTATGATATTGTGCCCGACGTGAAAACGGATGCAATTGGATGGTTCGCGTATTGAAGAGGAAGAGGAAAAACAACATATGGGAACTAACAATATACAACGGTCCTCACACATGTTGTGATGGAGGAGTCAACCAAGATCATCCCAACTTGGACTCTGAAGTGATATGTCAAGTCATTATGCCCATGGTAAAAGCAAGCTTTCATATAGCTGTTGCAGTGTTGATTTCAGCTATACAATTGCAGTATGTGTACAATTTGCAAAAAAAATTAATTAAATAAAATATTAAACAATTAAAATAATTAAATAAATTACTAAAAAATAATAAATATAATAAAATATACCTTAATAAGAGAATATAAGAATATTTGAGAGAATTTGAGAGGATTTGATGTGATGAAAGTGATTGAGAATGAGAGTACTTATAGAGAGGGATGGGTGTGAACGGACGGGGGTAGGTTGGTAATTAAGGGGGTAGGTTGGTAATTAAGGGTATAGCGCGGGGCAGGGGTCGCGCCTTTCTGACGCATGTCAGAATCACAGGCCTGTCGCGCATCATACATATGTGTATATATGTCAGCATAAGGCGTGCCTTAGGGGGGGCGCCTTAACCCACGTGGTACCAAATCACTATATAGCGCGATGCAAGGGGTACGCCTTACTGCAAATGGTGTTAGATCAAAAAATATAGTTTGATCGGTGTCTGATCGAGAATATTAAATTAAAAAGATAATTTTCGGGAAAAACGCTATTTTCTGATTGGTGGAACAGTATATCAGTCTTTGTTTATCGTACACCCATTCCACACAGTTTACTCCACAACTAATGTAAAAAAAATCAACTAGTTTAGTATATCAGTCTTCGCTCCAAATTGTTCAATAAAATATAATATTGTTACATCATCAAAATAAAAAAAAAATAATAGAATTAAACTAGCAATATTAGTCAAATGAAAAATTATTATTGACTTAATAAATACTAAATGGAATTAACTTAGTTCGTCCCCATAGGATTAGATGAACTTGCCCCTTAGACGAGTATCGTGCAGATCTGTCTGCCATCTTCTGTTTGTTTGTCATTACTCTTAAACAAGTCATCAGATTATTATTATTATTATTATCATTTGATGAAGAAGACGTGCCAAGTCATTTTATATTAGGTCATTTTTTACAATGGAATGAGCTTAAGCTCGAATTCAAATTTAAATATATAGAAAGTATAAATTTAATAATTAATTTTATTTCTATGTATCAAAAATAAAATAATTAACTTTATTTCTAGCCAAACTTATCTTCAATAAGTTAGTATTTGTTTATAATCTTTTTTATAAGGTTGTTTATTTATTTAAAATAGTTTGGGATGATTATAATGTACTCCAAAAACGTAACTACTTGAATCGGGTGTCTCTAAAGATAATAACACTTCTTTTTACTACTAATGCCGTTAAATGAGTTCATCTTTAGCATAATATAAAGCTTTAAGTTTTGAATCAACTTCAAAGACGGATTTCTTCTCATTATTTGAACTTGGTGACAAATTAATAGGAACAATAAATTGCAGGGTGACAAAGAAGGTAGGAATACGAAGACTTGAAACAAAATGCACTCATCCCAGAAGTATTTTTAAATGCATATGAGTGGATGCTGCGAAGGTCATTGGAGGATTCATTTTAGCATGGTAGAAACTTCCCTCTCCTTCAATAATTTATATATTTTTGCCAATGCAATATAATGTTATAATATAATATATGTATCTTCTTTGTCATTTCATGTGATCACACTTCTCAGAATATCCACTAGGACATAAATAGATATGTATACATTTTACTGGTAGCATTAATTTTAAAACCTGCAAGTCTATATCACTAATCTGAACACACTTTATTTTCTAGTCAGGGCTATGGGTATATAATGAAGGGCTACTTGCATCGCGTTTAATCTGTAACACATCAGATCTGGATAACTGCGATAGGGTATTTGATTTTGAAGACAGGAGATTACTATAATAGAAAGAAAGGAAGATGGTGAGAGCTCCCTTCTATGATAAAAATGGGTTAAAGAAAGGTGAATGGAGTCCCGAAGAAGATGATAAACTAAGGACTTCTGTCGAGATATATGGCCAAAGGAAGTGGCGTCAACTTCCTAAAGTTGCTGGTATAGTCTCATTCTTTTATGGAAATTAAGAAATTGTTAACTGATTCATGTAAAAAATCTATTGATCATGTTCATGGAGTGATCTTCTTTCTTTTTTTGGTGGTTTGTTTAGGTCTTAAAAGGTGCGGAAAGAGTTGTAGGTTAAGATGGATGAATTACTTACGGTCGGAAATAAAACACGGTAACTTCACTGAAGAAGAAGATGCACTGATCATCAAATTACATAAACAATTTGGAAACTGTTGGTCCGCCATGGCTAAATGTTTACCTGGAAGATCGGACAACGAAATAAAAAATCACTGGCACTCCGATCTAAAGAAGCGTGAAAAGCGAAATCCTACAACATCTGATGTCAAAGATGACTCTAGTTGTCCAAGTGAAGCCACCCAGAAATCTGAAGGTGAAAGAGGAGCTGAAAGCATCCTTGTTGATACTGCGGCCTACATGATATTGGAGAGTTCAACTTTGTCTCCAGCAACATCTTTAACTACTGAGTCGTCCTCCTTTGTTGAAGATACTTGTCCTCCTGCGGAAACATACCAAGCTCAAAGCAGTGGAGATTTTTGGAATAATCACTCCGATCTAAAGAAGCGTGGAAAGCGAAATCCGACAATATCTGATCACGTCAAAGAAGACTCTAGTTGTCCAAGTGAAGCCACCCAGAATTCTGAAGGTGAAATTGGAGTTGAAAGCATCCTTGTTGATACTCCGGCTAACATGATCTTGGAGAGTTCAACTTTGTCTCCAGCGACATCTTCAACTACAGAGTTTTCCTCCTTTGTTGAAGATACTTGTCTTCCTCCGGCGGAAACATACCAAGCTCAAAGCAGTGGAGATTTCTGGAATAATCCCTTTGTTGCAGACAATATCTTCAACCAGGAGGGTTATCCATCATCCATTGAACATTATGGATTTGAGCTGCCATTGCCTTTTGACGACGTGTATTATGATGATTTCCTCTATGACATGATGCAAGTATAGGGCATAAAATTGCTTTTCAATTTTTTGCTGATGCTCGCGCCTTGAGTGTATTAGTCGGGGACTTGGGATTTCAAATTGTAGTTGTGATTGTGCTTTCGGTCAACTCTCTTATAAAGTATTTAACATAATTTGTGGCCATTATCTACCTCCATTGTGCGAGTCGAAGGTTTTCATGAGGATGGCTTCTTCAACAGGGGCATCTCCGTGCAAACCGCCTGAAGGCATCTCAATGCTGCGATCAGCGGAGGGATCATAAGGTCATCTCGGCACTCTGATTATCACAGAGATTTTTAAGCTCAACATGATCTGGGATTATAGCGGATCTTGTTAGGAGAATTATTGGAGTGTTTGATTCAGGTGTGGATATTGCATGTATCCTTTTTGGGATTGTTCTATATCCACTCTATATGAATTTTCATTTTAACAAATAATGTATTTTCTGTGCTAAAAAAATCTAGATGCTTTAATTAATAGAGGGATTACAACGTCATCTCGTTGCTTTAGTGAACGAAGGGATTATAATTTCATCTCAATATTCTTGTTAGTGGACGGATTACAATATTTTCTCGACGCTTTGGTTTGTATAGCAATTTCAAAATCATCTCAAAGTGGCTGCAGAGGAAGACAATTAGGGTAGATGAATTCAACTCATTTATAGTTCTGAGTTGCAAACTTAGCCGAAATAAAATGGCACAGGATATTGGCAGAGCATTGGTTGGGAGGAAATTTTTGAAAGACATCTCTTGGAGACTGAAGAAGCAAATTTTCAAGGATATAAGTTCAAATCAACTGAGAAAGGATTAAAACGGGTGCCTGATCAAATCATATGGGTTCATGAGACTGTAGGAATTTTTCATGTCTATTCGATTTATTATTTAATTTTGGGCAGAAGATTCAGCGTTTAACTTTGATAATATTTGGAGCTTAATGGTACCACCAAAGGTTAAAAACTTCTTATGAATGTTGAAATTAAACAGGATGGCTATTAAAGATTTTGTTAAAAATGGTGGGTGGTTTTGTTGGAAACTCAAATCAATTGCCCTTGGTGTGGATAGGATGTTTAAAGCACTAATCACTTATTTATTACTACTTACTAGTAGATTTGCAGGTTGTATCTGGCCTCGATAGGAGGGCACCTGTCCAGGTCCCAAATTTTTATAAATACTATATTTATAAAAACTGATTTTATATTAGTTATAGGGATTTTTAATATTTTTTATTAAGTATTTAATTTTTCTCAATATTTATTATTATGAATTCAATTTTTTAATATTTATTATTAGGGACCTACTCTTACAAACTATTTTTCTAATATTTATATAATTTTTTCAATTTTTTCCGATAATTTTTCTAACATTTGTTATTAAAGTCCTAATTTTTTAAATAATTATTAGGAGCCATTTTTTTTCAATATTTGTTGTTAATGACATACTTTTAAAATTCAATTTCTTTTTTAATATTTATTTATTATTACAAGTCCAATTTTTTCAATATTTTTTTATTAAAGGTCTATTTTTTCAATATTGTTATTATGATCGTACTCTTAAAATTTTCTCTTTTTTTTAATATTTGTTATTAGGGACCCATTTTTTCAATAATTGTTATTATGGAGATCCCCTTAAATTTTTTTAATATTTTTTTTATTAAAAACAATTATTTAAATAACGGTATGTAACCATAACAACGACCGTTATGTAGTGGTAACAATATCGTTTGTAGGGGTGGCAACGAGACGGGACGGGGACTTGCATTACCCATTCCATTCCCAACACTTGTGGGTACGATTTTAGGGAATCCTCATTATATGTTTCGGAGTTTTGTTTTTGTCCACATACCCATCCCTTACGGATCCCTGTGGGTTTCGGTTAATTCTCATTCAAAAAAATAAATAAACATTTTTTAAATCAATGCAACACCTAAAACTTGTAAGATTGTCTCAAATTGTTCTCTATCTATAATATGAAAGTTTCAAACGTCAATATTAATCTAACACCCAATGTATATGAACAATCTTAACCATTTTCAATATCAACAAATCAATGTATATTAAATGAGAAAAAAAATCTCAACTTCAATTTATCTATTTTCAATTTATCACAAATAATTTGAGCTGTTTCCCATTCTTCATCAAATGGACATGATAAAAAAAGATTCTCTTTTCTTCAAATACTTGAAAACTTATTTATATGAAAGAGCAACATACTATCCTTGTGGTCACAGGAATGATCAACTGACAAGCAGTTTCTTGAAACTTTTCAATTCCCTTAGGGGTAGTAATCCAAAAAGTAACATTATCACGAACATCTTCAATAAAGCTTTTAATAATTTCCAAATCACCCTTAACTATCAAATTCAAAGTATGTGCAGAACAACGTATATGCTACAATTTTTCGTCCAACCAACCAGAGATTGTTAGGTGTCATCATTTTATCATTTGTTGAGCAATTATCCAAAGCCAATGCAGATATCTTATTATTAATATTCCAGTCCATCAAGATTTCAGAAAGAACATCACAAATGACTTCAGCTGTAGATGGACATGGAGCATACATGAATCTAATCAAATCAAATAAAAAAATAAAATAAAATTGAAGTAATAAATTTAGTTATTAAATAATACACTTGACAATTTAACTACCCAATTTAAGCAACAAGAACAGGTTAGGTGTTACAAGGTTACTTGATAATTCGGCTTCGTAAAATCCATGAATCGTCAATGAAATGTGATGTTATCGTCATAAATCCCTTCTTTTGGTGCGTTGACTTCCACAGATCAGTGGTGATAGCAATTTTGCTATCATTGTTTTGAAGAGTACTGGTCATCCTTTTCTTTTCATTCTCATAAACCTTGAAGACATCACTTTTAGTTGTATTCCGAGTATATTCCTTGAACTTCGGACAAGCTATTTTCAAAACTCTACGAAACCAATAATGCTCCACCATGGTCAATGGGTATTCATGGAAGGCAATCATACAAGTAATCTCTTTTCTTAAAAGTTCTGAATCGTACTCCCGATTTGCAATTCTCTTTATCTTCTATTTTTCGCTCCCAAGAAACTTTGTTTTATGTCCTTAGTTTTTCTTAATGGACATATTTTGTAATGGTTACGCAGAATAATGGTTCCATCTCTTCTCACCACCAAGTTTCTTTTGACAATAAAGACTGTCTTGAAGTTTTGTTTAAATTTAATTTAATAGCTCCTTAATTCAAACATTATTTTAAGTAGTGGTTACATTATATTAAGTAATTGTTACATTAATTCGCAAGACGAGAATAATATACATTTGTAAATTAATAAGAATATTATGCATTAATGGTTCTTGATTCTAGGATATTAGTTACTTTATTATTCAAATTTTTTTAATATTTTTTAGTGTGAATCTCCTATTTAAATTGTGTAAACCTACAAGATTAACATACACACCAAATATCTTCTCTATTTTCAAACCTTTTCGGTGTTAAAAAATACAATGTTCCAGTTTGTTGATCGTTACAATTGTGATACTGCAGTCTTTATCTCGTTATTGTATTATGGGAGACAGTTTATCATTGTTCTCGAGCATCATATGAGCAGCCGAATATATCTGAAGAAAATTATTTGATTCGTATTATTTGATTTCATGACTACAGACAAATAAACTATTTGATTCTGTTGAAACAATTGTAAAAAAAAACTCACCACAAGAGCTAGATCTCATAAGGTATGATTGAAATAAATGAACAAACTAAAGGAAATGAAGATGAATAAACGAATAAACTTGAGAGATAAAACACAGAAAAAGAAGACTAGTCCAATCACAATCAGACTCATTAACTATTGGTTTTATAGCTGTAAAGCACAAAGAAAGGATAAAACAGGTGAATGGAAACCATACGGTTTCAAGAAAAAAGAGAAAGAATTGTAGGCGACAAGGTGCTTGCCCTAAGCCCCTTACTCTTCTTCAATAAATTGCCCATTTACTTCACTGAGTCAACGCTATAAGTTCGACCCATCTTGAAGCAACGGGATTAACCCAAATAGAAATTAGTTACCCAAATAGAATGGAAACAACCTGAAGCTAACAACCTTAAACAACCAGCATACCCAACGACCAACCTGCAACTAACATCTTAACATTCACCCTGTTTTCTTTTCCCTTTTACAATTTCAATACAACACACCCAACAACCAAACAATACAACCAACATAACCCAGACAAGAAACCCAAGCTATTGAACAACCACAACATTAAGTTTCTCCCTCAACGTCTGAAACCGCAATAAAGGTAAAGCCTTGGTAAGAACATCTGTAACATGAAATTGTTCTAGAACATAGTTAACTTTCAGAAGCTGACTCATAACTTTTCACGCACAAAGTGAACATCCAGATCTACATGTTTCACTTTCACATGTGGAATTGGATTGGCTGCCATAGCCACAGTACTAGTATTGTCACACCAGATCGTGGGTGTATGAGGAAGCTTGATGTTCTTATCAACTAGAACTCCTCTCACCCAGAGCAGCTCAGAGGTAGTATCTGCAAGGCTTCGATATTCGGCCTCGGCTGTAGAGTGAGAGATAGCCTTTTGCTTCTTCAAACTTCAAGTAACCAAGTGGTTCCCAAGATAAACACAAAATCCTAAAACAGAACGTCAATCGTTAGGATCGCTTCCCCATTCAGTATGTTTAAAACCAGAAAGTATCAACGAATCAGCTTGTGGCTTAATCCATAACCCAAAATTTAACGTTCCCTTAAGGTACCAAAGTATCCTTTTGACCGCAAACCAATGTATCTGACACAATTGTTGCCTATATTGAGAAACCTTGTGAATTGCGAAAGCTATATCAGGACGAGTTTCGCGCACGTATAGCAGCACACCCACAAGATTTCTTTAAACTTGAGCATCCACGAACTCACTACCTTGCTTAGTTTCAGGGTGACTGGCATGGTAGTCTCGACTGGCCGAGCCTGGTCCATGTGGAACCTAGCAAGAAGTTCCGCAACAAACTTACGCTGACTGAGAAACATACCATCCTTTCCGTGCTTAGCCTCTATCCCCAGAAAATAATGAAC